GGAAATATATCAGTTTGTCTCTGTGGATGGTTTCAGTGTTCCTTAAGCTTCCGTTCCAGGACCACTATTGTTTTCACTATATATGCTACCTCTTGGTGATGTCATTCGGAAACACAATGTCAACTTTCACTGCTATGCAGACGACACACAGCTGTACATTTCAATGAAACATGGCGAAGCCCCAAAATTGTCTAGTCTGGAAGCCTGTGTTTCAGACATAAGGAAGTGGTTGTCGACAAATGTTTTACTTTTGAACTCAGACAAAACAGAAATGCTAGTTCTAGGTCCCAAGAAACAAAGAGATCTGCTGTCGGATCTGAGAATGAATCTCGATGGTTGAGACCTCAAATAAAACTGAAAGACCTTGATGTTACTCTGATCTCTCTTTTGACAAACATATCAAAAATATTTCAAGAGCAGCTTTTTTTCAAGTTAGTAACATCACAAAAATACAAAATATTTGTCAGAAAATGATGCAGAAAAGCTCATCCATGCTTTTGTCACTTCAAGATTAGACTACTGCAATGCTCTAGTCTCCGGCTACCCAGATAATGCACTAAACAAACTTCAGCTAGTGCTAAATACAGCTGCTAGAATCTTGAATAAAACCAAAACATTTGATCATATTACTCCTGTTAAGGCTTAATTTCAAGGTTTTACTGTTAACCTACAAAGCATTACATGGACTTGCTCCTACCATCTCTCCGATTTGGTCCTGCCGTACATATACGCTACGGTCACAAGACGCATGCCTCCTTATTGTTCCTAGAATTTCTAAGTAAACAGCTGGAGGCAGGGCTTTCTCCTATAGAGTTCAATTTTTATGGAATAGTTTTCCAATCCATGTGAGAGACACAGACTTGGTCTCAACCTTTAAGTCTTTACTGAAGACTCAACTCTTCAGTAGCTCCTATGATTGAGTAGAGTCTGGCCCCGGGGTGCGAAGGTGAACTGCAAGGCACAGGAGTGACGAACCACCCTTGCTGTCTCTGCCTGGCTGGCTCCCCTCTCTCGGCTGGGGTTCTCTGCCTCTGACCCTGTTACGAGGGCTGAGTCATTGGCTTGCTCGCGCTCTCCCATGCCATCCCTAGGAGGGGTGCACCACGTCATACCAGGCTTTTTTTGTTGTTGCTATACTCGATCTGAGTGGGTTGAGTCACTGACATGATCTCCTGTCGGGTTTTGCACCCCCTCGGGCTCGTGTGGTGGGGGAGATCTTCGTGGTCTCCCCCCCCCCCCCCCCCACTTGTTAGATTGAGAAACACCCAACTATTCTCTACATCAGCACAAAACACTGCTGGCTCATATGCCCCCATAGTCAAAATCAGTAGGCTAAACAGAACTAATAAATCGACTGACAAATGTCAAAGTTAGCCAGTAGCTCACTGCTAACCAACCTATACATGCATGTGTTCCAAGCGCCAGAGATGTCCACTCATACCAGGCAAAACCAAACCAGAATGCCATGCACAAAAGCTACAAACCATAGCCACTGTTAGCCACTAGCCTAGCACTAACACACCCTGATTTACCAAAGCTACATACCATAGCAACTGTTAGCCACTAGCCTAGCACTAACACACCCTGATTTACCAAAGCTACATACCATAGCAACTGTTAGCCACTAGCCTAGCACTAACACACCCTGATTTACCAAAGCTACATACCATAGCAACTGTTAGCCACTAGCCTAGCACTAACACAAATACATGTGCCACAGAGTCCTCCAGACTCCAAACTGGGTAATGTAATCCTGCAAACAGCACTAACAAAAGCTACCAAAACTGTAGCCAAAACACAAAATGTTCCGGCCCACGAGCAAAACACCTCATCAGCCTGTCACGCCCTGGCTCTGGGGACTATGTTATGTTGAGCCAGGGTGTGTAAGTCTATGTTTTGTATATCTATGTTGGCCTGAGTGACTCCCAATCAGAGGCAACGAGTGTCAGCTGGTTGTCTCTGATTGGGAGCCATATTTAACTATCGGTCTTTTCACTTTGTGTTGTGGTTTCTTGTTCCTTTTGGTTTGTGTGTATCGAAGGACTTCACGTTTCGTTCGTTGTTTTGATCGGGTGATCTGTTTAATAAATAATATGTACGCATTCAACGCTGCGCATTGGTCCTCCTCCTTAAGCGAACGTGACAGAAGAAACCACCAAAAATGGACCAAGCAGCGTGAAGAGGAGAGAGGAAGGACCTGGGATCAGGGGAGTAGGAGTTTCGGCTGGGCCACGCTAAGTGAAGAGGAGAGAGGCTGGTCTATGAAGCAATGGATCGAGAGTCTGGCGAGAGCTAGGGAGGCCTGGTCCACGGGGAGGAGAGAACCCCAGAAATTTTTTAGGGGGGGGCTCACGACGTGGACGACGGGGCAGCAGGAGGCCGCGATGGAGCGGTCCAGCGGGTGTGAAGAGGAGGCCGCCAGGTTAAGGGGGCCACTGGTCACAGAGGAGAGGGAAAGTGTGGAGGCACGGCGAGAGGTACTGGGGTGTATTACCAGTCCGGTCCGGCCCGTTCCTGATCCCTGCATAGGGCCAGTGGCGTGTGTCCCCAGTACGGTTCGGCCTGTTCCTGCATCTCGCACCGAGCCTGTGGTGCGCGTCGTCAGCCCTGTCCGGCCCGTTCCTGCTCTTCGTACCAAGTCGGTGGTGCGCGTCGCCAGCCCGGTCCGGCCCATTCCTGCTCTCCGCACCAAGTCTGTGGTGCGCGTCGCCAGCCCAGTCCGGCCCATCCAAGCTTCCCGCACCAAGCCAGTGGTGTGCGTCGTCAGTCCGGCACGGCCCGTGCCTGCTCTCCGCACCAAGTCTATGGTGCGTTTCGTCAGCCCTGTCCGGCCCGTTCCTGCTCTCCGCACCAAGTCTGTGGTGCGCGTCGCCAGCCCAGTCCGGCCCATCCAAGCTCCCCGCACCAGGTCAGTGGTGCGCGTCGTCAGCCCGGTCCGGCTCATTCCTGCTCCCCGCACCAAGTCAGGGGTGCGCTTCGTCAGGCCGGTCCGGCCCGTTCCTACTCCACGCATCAAGCCAGGGGTGTGCGTCGTCAGTCCAGCACAACCCGTGCCTGGGTCATGTCCGGAGCCGGATCCGCCACCGAGGCGGAGTGCCCACCCGGTCCCTCCCCTGTTGTGGTTGTTTGGCGCGGCCGGAGTCCGCGCCTTTGGGGGGGGGTACTGTCACGCCCTGGCTCTGGGGACTATGTTATGTTGAGCCAGGGTGTGTAAGTCTATGTTTTGTATATCTATGTTGGCCTGAGTGACTCCCAATCAGAGGCAACGAGTGTCAGCTGGTTGTCTCTGATTGGGAGCCATATTTAACTATCGGTCTTTTCACTTTGTGTTGTGGTTTCTTGTTCCTTTTGGTTTGTGTGTATCGAAGGACTTCACGTTTCGTTCGTTGTTTTGATCGGGTGATCTGTTTAATAAATAATATGTACGCATTCAACGCTGCGCATTGGTCCTCCTCCTTAAGCGAACGTGACACAGCCCTACAGTAGCTAACGACTACCAGCTGTAAACAACTGACTACCTTCGCGGGTGCGGCCACACCAAACATTTATGTTGACCAAAAAAACATGAGCTATCTTGCTAGCCAGCAAACTGAAACTCACATTAGCCCTACTGCAAACCTCACCTAGCATGCTAGCTCGACGAAACCTGCTACAAACTTTCTCAACATATGCACAACCACACTACCGAACCATACCGCTTCAAAACCACCCGGACTAGAACCACAAATGCCAACGTGTTAAAATGTATGCTGTACAAGCTCCCATATGTTACGAAACTACGGATATTGTTGCACTTGCTTTGTCTAGGGTTCCTAGGCCTAGTTACATGGTCTGTAACCTGAATGAATGTGTGCATTTACAGTGCATTTGGAAAGTATTCAGACTCCTTGACTTTTTCCACATTTTGTTACGTTACAGCCTTATTCTAAAATGGATTAAATAAAAATAAATTCTCATCAATCTACACAAAATACCCCATAATGACGAAGCAAAAAAAGTTTTTTAGACATTTTTGCAACTTTATTAAAAAGAAAAAACAGAAATACCTTATTTACATAAGCATTCAGACCCTTTGCTATGAGACACGAAATTGAGCTCAGGTGCATCCTGTTTCAATTGATCATCCTTGAGATGTTTCTACAACTTGATTGGAGTCCACCTGTGGTAAATTCAATTGATTGGACATGATTTGGAAAGGCACCCACCTGTCTATACAGTGCATTTGGAAAGAATTCAGACCCCTTGACTTTTTCCACATTTTGTTACATTACAACCTTATTCTAAAATGGATTCATTGTTTTTTTCCCTTCTACACACAATACCCCATAATGACAAATTTTGCAAATGTATTAAAACAAAAAAACTGAAATATCATACATATATTTACATAAGTATTCAGACCCTTTACTCAGTACATTGTTGAAGCACCTTTGGCAGCGATTACAGCCTCGAGTCTTCTTGTGTGGATGGGGAGCCAACCCCCACATCCAGAGAATTGTAGGCTATAACCATTTGACTACCACAGATGATAATACCACACAAACATTCCTATGCCCTATCCAAACCGGATACCCATGCCATTATGTTTTAAGACCGTTGATCCACTATTATATTGATTGAATCTTCTGCATATCTCATATGACCCACAGCCTGTTGCAGGCCCGCGAGCCCACCTGCCAAGCATTTGATTGACAGCTGAATAGATCCTGTGTGCGCTGAGCCGATGCTCCGGGGGCATCTTGTTTCCCTCGGTCTGCGCGTGCTACGTGATAGCTGGGGTCCTATTCCGTGTCTGAGCAGGCATGCAGCCTCCTCTGCCAAGCAATAAGCGCTACCCTGAAGCGCGAGGAGGACGAACGGAAATTACGGGATGCTATCAGCAATTGAGTTCAATTGGGGTTGAATGGACGTCATGTAAACCTGAATGGATTTAAACCAAAGATACGTTATTTATGTTGCTCCAACATCCTCAAGTTTCCTTCTGGAGTTATTCTTCCAAAATGTGGAAGATGGTTCCAGTTGTGTGCTTTGCGATGATGTTGCTCCAAGGTAAGTCAGTGGCACTTGTGCTGTACTTTGGACATTTTTGGGAAAGCCTTAGTCTATGGAAATCTAAAGATTATATTTCTATATGTCTCATTTGATATACTATTACCAGTCTATTATCTCTGACCTAGATCGACATTTTTGCTTTTATAGTTAACAACATAAAGTGTTTTGATTGTTCGGCAAGAGCCTTGGGCACTTCGACCCATGCATCACATCTCTCCAGACCTTACTCTCTCCAAACAAGGCCCTCCTTTAATTGCTGCTCAGGTCGATTAAATGGGGTAACAGTGGAGGGGGGCTTGAACCAGCATTCCATGGGGCCAATATCATGCCACCTTTGACCCCTCAGAGTCCTACAACAAATAACTTCTATATTCTCCTATCGCAGTGGTCCACTCGGCTCAGGGCCGGTACGCTCAGCAGCTGCTCACCGACCTGATGGAGAACTACTCAAACGCCCTGCGGCCGGTGGAGGACACAGACAAAGCCCTGAACGTCACCCTGCAGATTACTCTCTCCCAGATCAAAGACATGGTGAGTCTCAGAGATTACTGACTATGTCTCAACGATGAGCAGAGCACCTCTGACAATCTATGACTGGCTTCTCTCACAATGAGGCTTTGACAAAATGTAATCCTTGATCAAATACTTTGCACACGTATAAAGAGGATAACGATATCGTAGAGAGAGATCATGTACTTTTGATCAGAGGAAACAATGCATTGTGAGAGAAAGGCATCAATTGCCAGTGCTGCTCTGTTCATTGGTAAGACAGTATAGTCCAGGGTTCTTCAATTCCGGTCCTGGAGGGCCGAAACACCTCTGTTTTTCATCCTCTCCTTCTAATCAGGGGCTAATTCAGACCTGGGACACCAGGTGAGTGCAATTAACTACCAGGTAGAACTAAAAAACAGAAGTGTTTCGGCCCTCCAGGACCGGAATTGAAGAACCCTGGTATAGTCTGTATGTAGTATTAAGTCAGTCATCTCTGTGACTCACCTGGTCTTTTACCCAGGCATGAAAGGCATATGTATTGTATCTTTAACATGCATCCTGGCAGGGCAGATAGGTCCACCAAGATGCCCTCACATTATTAATATCCCAATTGATTGTATTGATTCATCTGTTGATGTGTATGAGAATCAGAATCACCTTTATTCTCCAAGTACATTTACACATACCCGGAATTTGCCTTAATGAGAAGGTGCTGCCAGCAATAGACAATATATGAACAGAATACAAACACAAGTCCACATGGACATCATACAGAATATACAATTTCGGAACAGTGAACATAAAACAAAACTCTGGAGTATAGGCTGATTACACTGTAAATATACCATTTACAGAGGGAGGGATGTCTATCTACATAAGCAGAGGGAGGGATGTTGCCATGGTGAATATATACAGTGTTGTGCGGAGGTCTACATAGTGCAAATGCAATATAGTGCAGATTAGTATTAGAGGTCACTGATGACAAGGTGCAGTAATCAGCTAGGAGGTCTGAGAGACGTCAGACCTACTGTACAGGCCTACAGTTACTCAGCCATCTCCTGTTTCAGTCCAGTGGAGTGTCAACCTCCCATTCGTGTGTGTGTGTGTGTGTGTGTGTGTCTGACTAAGTAACTAAGTGTATCTTGTCCAGTGCACTCTGAAGAGAGATGAGACACCTGCCTTAATCCCTGTCTCTGTGATGATGTCATCCTGTCACTTTGAAATGCAGACGTTACAGGAGGGGGTCGCAATTCCGGAGCGACCCACTAGATGTCATCCTCCGACAACCTTAGGCACCTCCTCACTCACAGTCGGGACTAATCATCATCCTATTGGTGTCACCTCTGTCTATCGGTTCACCTGTGTATTTATGCCCTCACTTCCCTGTGTTCCTTGGCTCAGTTTTCTCTGCTAGTTTCTCTATGTCCAGCAGTACTACTCAGTGTCAATGTACAGGTACTTGAGAAGTGTTCTCCCTGTTTCGTTATTTGTTTCAGTCTTAGGTAGTATTTCGTATTTTGGCTGTCAGACGGTTTTTGGAGACTTTTTTGCTCCGCCTTTCTTTTATTGTGATAAGTCCGTTATTTTGTATTCTGGCTTCGGGACCACAAGTAAAGATCCTTGTTTCACCATCTCTGCCTACTGCCTACTGTATATCCTGCACTGCACCTGGGTCACACCTCACCCCAACCCTTACACAGAAAGACTCTGCGTGTGTGACCTGTGTGTTTGAGTGTGTATGTGAGTGTGTGTGTAATGAGTGTCCCTTTACTCTCCTTGGTTCCCTGCTTTGGTTAAGCCATGCATCAGGTTCTGGCAGTGATACCCTCTAAACCCCTTTTGGTTAGTCTCGTCATCCACCTGATATTGACAGACAGCTGGGTCTGGATTTCACTATGTCTGACAGCTAGAGAGAGAGAGGAAGAGAGAGAGAGAGAGAGAGAAGAGAGAGAGAGAGAGAGAGAAGAGAGGGAGAAGAGAGAGAGAGATAGAGTTAGCAAGAGAGAGATATAAGTAGCGATAGAGATATGAGAGTATCGCTATCGCTCTCTCTCTCTCTTCTCTCTCTTCCTCTTTCTCTCTGCTCTCTCATTGCTCTTCCTCAGCACTCTCTCTCGCTCGCGATCTCTGTACTCGAGAGGAGGAGAGAGAGAGAGAGAGAGAGACGCATGTTCAGTAGCATATTGCCCTTACCTGTGTGTGTGTCCACATGTTTTGTGTGTGTGCGTCTGTGGCATGTGTGTGTGTCTGTGCACCTGCATCTGTATGTTTATTACTGTGTCTATGTGTGCAGGACGAGAGGAACCAGGTATTGATAGCGTACCTGTGGATCCGTCAGACGTGGCACGATGCCTACCTGAGGTGGGACAAGGAGGACTATGATGGCCTGGAGGTCATACGGATCCCCAGCAGTCTGGTGTGGAGGCCTGACCTCGTCCTCTATAACAAGTACGCCCTTACATCACACAGATATATACAGCCACTGTACCATGATATCGTAATGACTTCTACTTTCTAGAAACAGCCTCCCTTATTGGCAATAACTGTTGGTCCATGAATTGGTCATGCATTAATGCAAAGTATTTATTGAGGAAGATTGTCCCATATACAGTAGAAGGATGTTATACCACAGTAATGACATGGTAATACCCATGTTATTACAGTCATTACAGTGTACAGGTACTAGTTTCCCTGTTCCTCCTCAGGGCGGATGATGACTTCTCAGGGCCGATGGACACTAACGTGGTGCTGCGCTATAATGGGGAGATAACATGGGACGCTCCGGCCATCACCAAGAGCTCCTGTGTGGTGGACGTGTCCTACTTCCCCTTCGACAGCCAGGAGTGCAACCTCACCTTCGGCTCCTGGACATACAACGGCAACCAGGTATACAGGATAGGCATACATCCACAGATAGACCGACCGTCAGACACACACACACACACACACACACACACACACTTAGTTTCTTGGATTTATACTGTGTGAGTTAAATGGAGTGACAAAACTTGGTCAGCCTGATAGAGAGAGGAGACACACACACACCCTGTCCTACTGCTTCAGACTGCCCTACCACAGACAGACACACACACCCTGTCCTACTGCTTCAGACTGCCCTACCGCAGACAGACACACACACACCCTGTCCTACTGCTTCAGACTGCCCTACCGCAGACAGACAGACACACACACACCCTTGGTGTGTGGTGATGTCATTCTATCATTATCGATGCAGACAAACTCATTGTGTGTGTGTGTGTGTGTGTATTATACATGTTCTACTAAAACACCCCTGTTACACTCCTATTATATTTCACCCTCTATTCCGATGTCTCTTCTCAGGTTGACATAGCCATGGGTATGGACAGTGGGGACCTGTCTGATTTCGTGGAGAACGTTGAATGGGAATGCCACGGCATGCCGGCCACCAAGAACGTCATTATGTACGGCTGCTGCTCCGACCCCTACCCTGACATCACGTACACCGTCCTGCTCCAACGCCGCTCCTCCTTCTACATCTTTAACCTTCTCCTGCCCTGCTTCCTCATCTCCTTCCTGGCTCCGCTGGGCTTCTACCTGCCGGCTGACTCTGGGGAGAAGGTGTCCCTGGGGGTCACTGTGTTGCTGGCCCTGACTGTCTTCCAGCTCATGGTGGCCGAGAGTATGCCACCGTCTGAGAGTGTGCCGCTTATTGGTGAGTCTCTTAATCTTTCTCTAACTCTCTCACCCGCACACGCACGCAAATCTCATACACACACACATCTTATACTCACATACATCTCATACACACATACATCTCATACACACATACATATCATACACACATACATCTCATACACACATACATCTCATACACACATACATATCATACACACATACATATCATACACACATACATCTCATACACACATACATCTCATACACACACATACATCTCATACTCACATACATCTCATACACACATACATCTCATACACACATACATCACATACATGCTGTACATGTGCAGGAACTCATTTTTCTCTCTCCTGTATGTCACAGGAAAGTACTACATCGCTACCATGACGATGATCACAGCCTCCACGGCTCTCACCATCTTCATCATGAACATCCATTTCTGTGGTGCTGAGGCCAAACCCGTCCCCCACTGGGCCAAAGTCCTCATTATCGACTATATGTCCAAGATCTTCTTCGTCTACGAGGTGGGAGAAAACTGTGCTACTGCCACCTCTTCCTCCTCCTCTTCCTCATCACATTTTGGCCAGGACGATATCCACCAACCCAACTTCAGCCCCCACCACCAGGCCAATGGGAAACCGGGGGGCAACAGCGGGAGAGAGAACCAGTACCGCCACAAACACCCCAGACCCCAGACTCCTGGACCCCAACGTCACCCCAAGCCCCGACACCAACACCACATCACCAGAGATGAGAAGAACCATCTCTCCAGCTCCAAATATGAGGGCTTCGAGTCCAACAGGAACCTCTCCCTGGGGGACTGCTGTAAGGAGGCGCCTCCCTGCTGTCCGGAGGATGAAAAGACAGCCGCGGTCGCTGCTGCAGTGGCCTCAGTAACCTTTGGCCCCTGTGTGTTCTGTAGTCACGGCAGCAGCTTACCCGGGGTGGACTCCAAGCTGGTGCGGAACGTGGAGTACATCGCCAACTGCTTCAGGGAGCAGAGGGCCACCTGCGCCAAGGGGGCGGAGTGGAAGAGGGTTGCCAAGGTGATGGACAGGTTCTTCATGTGGATCTTCTTCATTATGGTCTTCCTCATGAGCATTCTGATCATCGGCAAGGCACCATGACAATGCTGGCTACCCATGTGTTGTCATTGGAGACTGTTCTGGGCCTGGTTTCCCAGGTTCCTATGGTTCTAAGATTAATTTAGCCTCATCCATTTGGGAAACCAGGCCCTGTTCTTTTGTTCATCAAGAGAGTATTTTTATGTATATTATGTGTGTAATATGTCTTACTGATGAAACTAAAGAAGGTGCAATGAGAGATTTTGATAGATATCTATGTTATTTCCTAATTTCTGTTAACCTTATTGGATTTTTTACATTTGGACCAATACAATGAACTGCGTTGTGGAGGAAAGACTATATTGCACTCTTATGATCAATGTCCTGATTTTCATAAGCACGATCAGTTACTGAAGTTTGTCAATTCATTTCACTCTTTCTTTTCATCTCTGTACAGAAAAATACGTTATATTAAAAAACATAGCAAATACTGTGTATAAGACCAACTCAAATATCACTACAAGTGTATACTATACTGTGTGTGAATTAACAGGACATACACCAATCATTGTCTGTTGTTTCTGAACTCCATACACCCTCCCCATACTAATATATCCACATCTCCCCACTAAATAATACCAGTAGAGCTATCACGTCTTACTCACCAGTCTGAAATCAGACTCCAGGGGTTTCAGCGACAAAGGCCCCGCTCCAGATCCACAGGCCTAGAATAATTTTTCAGTTCAAAATCATCCAGTGAATAGTTAATGAATGCTTTGTTTCCAAACAGGTACTGTAAAGATGTAAGGTAATATGGAACATAATTATGCAACACAATGAGTTTGCCCCCTCCAACAACGCATGCCAAGAACTCTGCACCGGTACCCCCCTGTATATAGCCTCCCTACTGTTATTTTATTTGACTTCTGCTCTTTTTTTCTCAACACTTTTTTGTTGTTGTTGTTTTATTTTATTTAACTTTTTTATTAAGAAATAAATGCATTGTTGGTTAAGGGCTGTAAGTAAGCATTTCACGGTAATGTCTACACCTGTTGTATTCGGCGCATGTGGCAAATAAAAATTGATTTTATTTTATTTTATTTGTAACATTCAGGTGTTTGTGTGTTTGTGTGTGTGTGTATGTATATACTGTATGTTTTTGTGTGTGGCAGGAAGTGGTTGTGGTGGTGTGGTTTACTTTGGACTCTTCTGCACACCTCATAGAAGTAGTCAACCACTCAAAGGACAAAGTATTTGACCAGAGTGCCCCCCTTCAGTTAAAGAACAGTTGATACATATTTATCTGTATGGATCCTTGTACAGTTTGAGTTTTTATTTGCAGAATTGTCACTACTACCTTGTATATCCAGCAGAGGGCAGACATCTCTCACCAATTATCCACTTGAACGGCACAGATGGACACCACAGATCCATGAAAATTAGGAGACACTCAGTGAATTTGAAATCAGATATCTTTTCAACAATCACCTATGATACTTTACATAAAAATAATAAAAAACGAATGTTGATAGTAAAATAAAGATATTATCATTACATTTTGTTTTGAGTGAATACAGAGTGGAGGATCATGGATACATAACCAACCAGTGTTAAAGAAACTAGTTCATCATCATAACTGATACTAAACCTGTCTCTTGAACCTATCCTCTGACATTAATGAGACCCTGAGTTCACTCAGACAAGGAAGCCTGAGCAGTCATCATCCTCTTCAGGGAAGTGATTGTCATGCTGAAGAGTGAAATCTCTCACATTTGCACACTGGGGAAGCCTGTCTCTGGTCCTATTAGTGCACGGTGAGCGGAGGGGCCCGATGCATGCTATAATCACCCCAGGAGCCAGGGAGAAGTGGGAAACATGTAATTTGCACAGACAGGAGAGAGGCTAGGGAGAGACTGCTGGGGAAATTGCCAGGGTCTTTTTTATTTCACTTAAGGAAGGCTGGGGGAGTCTATCACCACCTGTCTGCATACAGGCAGGAGGATGGATCATCATGATATGGAGTGTCTCATGCTTCATGAGGTGACAGTTCATTATTGTACGGTTAAAGACCTGAAGTTAAAACGTGACATTCTGATAACTAATTAATGACATCATCATTTAGCATTGTAATAACCATTAGTGATGCGCTGGTTGACTCATACCGGGCCGGGTTGAATAAAAATAAAGCAATGCATAAAAAATCCATAAATGTGTAATTCTTGTGCAATTCCATATCTATGGGCTAAATTGATTTTTTTCTTTCATTCTTTTTATCTGCCTAAGCGTAAGTTTTAGGGTCTAACTGGAGCTCGCCAAATAAACACCAATTGCCAAATGCTTTTGGGAACTTGGGAAGAAAATGTTAATGTTAAAGTTGCAAAAGAGGATGATAGCAGTGCCTGCTATGTTACGTGTGATGATTGTGAGGCGTTATACAGTCTACTGTTCTGATGGGTTAATTGAATGATAGTCTGAAATCTGGACACTGACTATATCTATAACCTCTCACATAGCCTACTATAATATTAACTCCTGCAGAATGAAGCATTTCTTGCGGTAAAATTATAAACCAAATGTCAATTTAGACTGAGGAGTATTTTTCTCCAGTCATACAGGTGTAATAAAGGCCTACTTAACTAATTTTGTGGGATTTTTTGTTGTTGATATATACTGTGGGGAGAACAAGTATTTCATACACTGCCGATTGTGCAGGTTTTCCTACTTACAAAGCATGAAGAGGTCTGTAATTTTTATCATAGGTACATTTCAACTGTGAGAGACGGAATCTAAAACAAAAATCCAGAAAATCACATTGTATGATTTTTAAGTAATTAATTTGCATTTTATTGCATGACATAAGTATTTGATCACCTACCAACCAGTAAGAATTCCGGCTCTCACAGACCTGTTACTTTTTCTTTAAGAAGCCCTCCTGTTCTCCACTCATTACCTGTATTAACTGCACCTGTTTGAACTCGTTACCTGTATAAAAGACACCTGTCCACACACTCAATCAAACAGACTCCAACCTCTCCACAATGGCCAAGACCAGAGAGCTGTGTAATGACATCAGGGATAAAATTGTAGACCTGCACAAGGTTGGGATGGGCTACAGGACAGTGGGCAAGCAGCTTGGTGAGAAGGCAACAACTGTTAGCGCAATTATTAGAAAATGGAAGAAGTTCAAGATGACGGTCAATCACCCTCGGTCTGGGGCTCCATGCAAGATCTCACCTCGTGGGGCATCAATGATCATGAGGAAGGTGAGGGATCAGCCCAGAACTAGACGGCAGGACCTGGTCAATGACCTGAAGAGAGCTGGGACCACAGTCTCAAAGAAAACCATTAGTAACACACTACGCCGTCATGGATTAAAATCCTGCAGCGCACGCAAGGTCCCCCTGCTCAAGCCAGCGCATGTCCAGGCCCGTCTGAAGTTTGCCAATGACCATCTGGATGATCCAGAGGAGGAATGGGAGAAGGTCATGTGGTCTGATGAGACAAAAATAGAGCAGGATGAGTACAACCCCAAGAACACCCATCCCAACCGTGTAGCATGGAGGTGGAAACATCATTCTTTGGGGATGCTTTTCTGGGACAGGACGACTGCACCGTATTTTCGGGGACAGGACGACTGCACCGTATTGAGGGGAGGATGGATGGGGCCATGTATCGCGAGATCTTGGCCAACAACCTCCTTCCCTCAGTAAGAGCATTAAAGATGGGTTGTGGCTGGGTCTTCCAGCATGACAACGACCCAAAACACACAGCCAGGGCAACTAAGGAGTGGCTCCGTAAGAAGCATCTCAAGGTCCTGGAGTGGCCTAGCCAGTCTCCAGACCTGAACCCAATAGAAAATCTTTGGAGGGAGCTGAAAGTCCGTATTGCCCAGCGACAGCCCCGAAACCTGAAGGATCTGGAGAAGGTCTGTATGGAGGAGTGGGCCAAAATCCCTGCTGCAGTGTGTGCAAACCTGGTCAAGACCTACAGGAAACGTATGATCTCTGTAATTGCAAAAAAGGTTTCTGTACCAAATATTAAGTTCTGCTTTTCTGATGTATCAAATACTTATGTCATGCAATAAAATGCAAATTAATTACTTAAAAATCATACAATGTGATTTTCTGGATTTTTGTTTTAGATTCCGTCTCTCACAGTTGAAGTGTACCTATGATAAAAATTACAGACCTCTACATGCTTTGTAAGTAGGAAAACCGGCAGTGTATCAAATACTTGTTCTCCCCACTGTATATATATATTTGTATTATTATTTATTTAATTTCGATTTATCAGGGGGTGCTGCATCACCCTCACCACCCCTATATCCCGCTGCTATGCTAATATCCATGGACAGGATAGTGTATGTACGAATGTTAATGTGACCCCATACAATAGGTCAGGCTAAAGACCTGACTGCAGAAGGCTCGTCCATATCGCTTGAAAGTAACAAAATGCTCACAGTTGAGCATAACCAAATCATAGATTCGTTTCTGTCCAAGAAGATCACTCAAACGCTGTCACATCTCTGCCTCTGGAGATGGCGGGCATTGATGTGGTGGTCCTCTGTAGCTCAGCTGGTAGAGCACGGCGCTTGTAATGCCAAGGTAGTGGGTTCGATCCCCGGGACCACCCATACACAAAAATGTATGCACGCATGACTGTAAGTCGCTTTGGATAAAAGCGTCTGCTAAATGGCATATTATTATTATTATTATTATTATGTGTGTTGTTACCAATCCTGATTTCAGAAATGTGTTGTAGTCAAATATTTTTTTCTCTCCAAAGAACCTGTCGTTAAGAGAGAAGGCCTCATCCAGAGGTTGTTCTCTGTTCAAGAAAAAATATTGAGACAATAAATGCAACCTAAACATCAGCAGGCCAAATGTTAAGGGGGTCATCCATGGAGCAAGTTTGCCAACATTATGAAATCTAGATTTGAATGATCTGGTGTAAATATACTGAACAAAAATATAAACGCCACATGTAAAGTGTTGGTCCCATGTTTCATGAGCTGAAATAAAATATTATTTCTCAACAATTTGGTGCACAAATTTGTTTACATC